AGGAGGAGGAGGGGGAGGAGGAGGAGGAGAGGAGGAGGAGGATGAGGAAGAAGACGCCGCTCATGAGGCCCTTGCCGCGGTCGAGGAGTCGAGCCAGGCGGCCGAGTCCGCCGCAGACTTGCCCCGCGGTGGCACCGCCGCCGCGGACCTGCACTTGGTGCTCGCGGAGGCGCTGTGGCAGCAGGCCCACAGGCAGGGCTCGCTTCGACTCCTCCGATTGGTATCGTTTGACCGATCCCATCCCCATCCCCATCCCCTTCGAGACTCCCACCAAATTACCACCCCAGTTGGGGATACACCCCTCGGAACCCGAAGGGAACGACCTATATGCCCCTCTAGGGGGGTAAATCGGCCAGTGGGGCCCAGGCCACGCCGCTGGGGATGGGGATCGGTTAAACGATACTCATCCGATGTGATTCGATTCGACTTCGATGGCTTCCGATTCCGATTCGATTCCGATTTGGGATTCCGCTTTGGGATCCGATTTCTCACGGGGCGCATAGAAGCCTGCCGATTGCCGCCGATTCGACCTTTTTCCGACTCGGCTGCCGATTTCCGCGCCGATCCGATTCACGTCGATCGCCGATCCGACTTATCGATTCCAGTCTGGGCTCCTGCACAGGGCCACTGGGGAGGGCACGGAGCTGGCGCTGCCGCACTACGAGGCGGCGGCCGCGCTGGTCCAGGGTGCCGGCGACGCCCGGAAGGAGCAAGACAAGTCAAGTCACCCCGCTCGCACGAGGGCGGGCCCGAGTAGGGCGCGAGGGAAAAAACAAGTGCCAGTGCACGCGGGAGGCTCGAGCGCAGTAGTCCAGGAGGTCGCCCGTCAAGTCTGCCCAGGCCAAGTTATCTTGCGCGGCGTCTTGCCACCCGCTCGCACGATGGTGGGCCCGAGTAGGGCGCGAGGGAAAAAACAAGTGTCAGTGCACGCAGGAGGCTCACAGGCAGCGTTATCTTGCGCGGCTTCTTGCCACAATCCGATGTGATTCGCCCGATAGAACGCGACAGACTTGGCATCCCCAAACACAACATAGAAGAGGAGGACTTTGTGAGCGCGACCAAGGCGGTGTTCAACATAAGGCCTGGAAGGATCAGAGGAGGAATGACACCCGAGACCTTGGCGTCGTCTTTTTGTCATCATGGGCGAGTCTGCCTTGTTGTGGGCCTTCGGACGATCTCGTTTTTCCTTTCAGCCCTGGGACCCTCACGGATCGATCTGGCTTGAAGAATCGTTCGGAAACATTGGGTCTAGGGCTCGGGTCGTCATGTTCCGCCATGTTGCATTGTATTCGCAACGTCTGACTTCAAGGGATACAGATATCGCCACCCGTCTCTCGTCGCCACGGCTGCGTTCGTCTCGAGATCCTGGTCAGAACGCACCCCTGGAGAGGTCCGGGGAGTAGCGGTATTGGTTCCCTTTTTTTGTTCCCTTTCCTCCTCCTCCTCATCCTCCATCCTCATCTTCCTCCATCCTTCTTCTCCTTCTCCTCCTCCTCCTCCTCCTCCTCCTCCTCCTCCTCCTCCTCCTCCTCCCCCTCCTCGGGAGGAGGAGGACGAGGAGGAGGAGGAAGAGGAGGAGGAGGAGGAGGAGGAGGAGGGCCTCCCCCTGCTTGCTGCCCCTCGCCCGAGGAGGGTATGGTTGCGCTCGGGCACGGCTTCGCCCTCGCGCAGCTGGGGAGGCCGGAGGGCGCCCGTGAGAGGCTGCTGCGGGCGAGGCTGCTCGCCGAGGCGGACGGCAACGCGGGCGCGCTGCAGTTCGTGGACCGGCTGCTGGCGCAGGTGGGGGGCGGCGGCGCGGCGGCGGAGGGGCCGAGGTCTGCGGATGACGTGTGTGCACCGTGCGGCGTCGTCGTCTCCAGAGTCGTCGTCGATCCTCGACCCAGGAGTCACAGTTTTCGTCCCTCGGAGCCGGGTGACCATGCACCGTACCGCGTGGGGACTCTTGTCGGCCCAACGGGCTTGCAGAGCAGCCAGTCGGTTCGGTTGCTTGGTGGCTGCCGCAGCGTATCGGAGACCTCGATGCCAAATCGGGGCATCCTGGTTAGTGTATCAAAGGCGAGGGGGAGAGGAGGAAGAGGAAGAGGAGAAGGAGGCTATCATCAGTCCAGCCATAATATAAGGATGTGGGGTTTCGCAGTAGCGTAATTTTCGTCCCTCGGAGCTGGGTGACCACGCACCGTACCGCGCGGGGACGGGGCCTGAAGGGAGTCCAAACATGGTCACGGTGCACGGGCGCCGCTCGCATACGAGGCCGGTCTTGGACGCCTGGCGCCAGTTCGCGGAGGCCTTCTCCGCGGGGAAGCCCGCGGTGCTCTTCTGCCGCGGCGGCATCGCCGCCCCGGGGGACGCCGCCACGCGGAGGGCCGCGACCAAGCTGAGGGCGTGCGGCTGCCTCGGCGTCGAGGCCCTGGACGTCCTCGCCCCAGGCCCGGGCGTGCCCGAGGGGCTGCAGGGCGTACTGGGCTCGCCGCACCTGGAGCTGCCGCAGCTGTTCGTGGGCGGGCAGGTGCAGGCTGCCGGGGGAAGGGACTCCGAGCAGGAAAAGGTACAGTACCGATACCGCTGCTCTCCCCTCGTTGTCGCCGTGTCTGGGCTTCCGCAGAGGCCCTCGTTGCCACGGCTGGATTCGCCTCGAAGTTCTGGTTCGAACGCGCCCCAGGAGAGGTCTGGGGAGTAACATCGGCACCGACGTTCCGCGGTCAATCTTGGTCATGGCCCTCGTTTGTTCTCCCCGAGGCTGGGTGGGAGGACCTGAGCCAAGAGGCGCTCCGGGGCCTCCTCGGGGCGGCGGGCCTGTCGCTGTCGGAGCCCCCCGGCGCCGAGCCCTGCCACGGCACGGGCGCGTTCGCAGAGGGCCTGGAGGCCTGGGAGGTGGCGCTCGTGGAGATCATCTCCAAGGACGGCGCCGGCGATTGGCCCCGGATCGCCGAGCAGCTCGTCGGGCGAGGCTTCGGGGACGTGCTGCCGCGCCCGCCTGGCTCCGAGGCCGCCGCGGCGGCCCTGGAGGCCGCGTGGCAGGGCCTCGCCCCGACGGTCAAGGAGAGGCTGGGGGCGCAGCCGGAGATGCCGTGCGGCCACTCGTGCAGCACGTGCCCGACGCGGCACGAGTGCCAGCTCCACGACGCCGTGGACGGCAGAGCGAAGGACATCGAGGACCTGGCTTGAGTTCGAGGGGAGGAACTGGGGGACCATGACCGAGGTGGCACGGGATCTCGTCGATGCCGATCTTGGTCATGGTCCGTGTCGGCCGTCGCTGATTCACGAGGATGATCCACGAAGTGACGCTGACCAAGATCGACGGCGACCAAGATCGGCACGACGACTCTGCGTGCAGTCTTGGTCGTGGGAAGGAGCTGACGGGGCTGGTAGCGGGTGGGTGGGGGGGCGCAGAGGAGGGGAGGGTCCACAGGGAGCTCACCACCCACCAAACCACCCCAACCCAACCCGAAGGCTCAGATTTACCCTCGATTTCCAGTGGGGGGGGGGGTCGGGAAACATCGAAAAACCACATGTGGAACCCTTACCCCCCCCAACCCGAAATTCGGGTCTTCGGGTTGGGTTGGGGTGGTCTGGTAGGTAGTCAACAGGGAGCGGCCTGACTTGCAATCCCCTTGTCCACAGGTGGGATTGGGCAGGGAGGGGGCGGGGTCCGCAGAGCGGGGGTGCGGGGCACGCATTCATTCCCTTTGTCCACGGGGTTGTTGGGACCAGGAGGGGGGAGGGCATCCACAGGAGTGGGGTCCACAGGGGGGGGGCCCTGTCCACCAGGGGGGGGATGGGGGCTAGGAAGGGAGGGGTGGCGGCCTCCACGGGGGGGCGGTCCACACGATGGTCCCCGCTTTCTTCCCCTCCATGATCCACGCGCTGCCGCGCAGTTGCCGGAGGCCCCCCCGCCTCCAGGCAGGAGCCCTGCGCCTGGCGCGCGCTCGCCGTCGTCACTCGCCAACGGCGCCGCCCGACGACGGCGGCGGCCTCGGCGGCGACGGCGACGGCGACGGCGGCGACGGCGAACTCCCAGCGACTGCGGCAGCGCTCCGCTCCGCTCCGCTCCCCCCATGGCCTGCTGGAATATGCGGTGGCCGGAGGCAACGGCAGGGGAGGACAGGCTCAGGGGGGGGGGATGCATCGACCCCCAACCGCTCGTCCATCGCCGATGGGGGCCCGAGGGCCCGCCCTGCCCAGGAGCGTGCGGTCTCGCTGTCGAGACCCCATCGCCGATCCATCGGCGATGTATCGCCGAGTCCAGGTCGACGTTCCCCCCCCCCGCCCGACCCAGTCCCCCCCTGCTCGTTGCCCCTTAGGTGGGGGCTGCCAGGCGCGCGGGCGCCGCGATCTCTTTTTCCTCCTTCTCTGCGACGGAGACCCAGAGGCAGGGGGGCCCGAGGCGTCGGTCGCCGCGCCCTGGTGAAGAAATGCCGGCCAGGGTTGCGCGGCAGCAGAGATGGAGAGGAGGCTGGCTGGGGGGCGCCAGCTTCTGCGCCAACTCCGTGCTTTTGCCCCTCCAGGGCCTCCCGAGGGGCCCTAGTAGCTACGGCTGGACGCAGCTCAAAAAGTTGGGCAGGATGGACCTCATGGGGCGGTTTGCACTTCACTGCGCTAGCCATTCGCCGTCTGGCGCGAAGGCGGGACAAGGCTGAGTTCAAGCGCTCACAGCCAACGCGACTGCTGAACAAGGCGCGAGGATGAGGATGAGGAGGAGGAGGAGGAGGAGGAGGAGGAGGAGGAGGAGGAGGAGGAGGAGGAGGAGATGGAGGAGGAGATGGAGGAGAAGGAGGATGAGGAGGAGGAAAAGAAGGAGGAGGACGAGGAGGAGGATGAGGGAGGAGGAGGAGGAGGAGGAGCAGGAGGAGGAAGAATACCAGTGTCAACCCAAGACTCATCAACGATTATGGGATACACCCTCCCTCGAGTCTTCTTCTTCATAGGCCCCTGCAGGGACTCATTTCCACTCAGGGCCCGTTGGTGGACAACCGTGTACAAATCCTGAAACGCGCCACAAGTTAATCTGATTGTGAGGTCTTGGCGATCCTAGATCGTACCAGAACACCATTCCTGGGACTTCAAGACCGCGAATCAACGTAACTTTGCGCCGTGACTAACTCGGATAACCAAAGAAACTCTTGCAAACTTCTAAGGCGAATGTGCGCGGTGCTGATGCGAGAGCCACAGAATGGAAAAAGCCCGCCCTCAACCCGGTGAATCTCTTGCAAGCTTTTAAGACGAATGTGCGCGGCGCTAAGTCGAGAGCAACGTTTTGAGAATCGCCCGCCCTAAGCCCGTGAATCTCTTGCAATGTTTAAAATACAAATGTGCGCGGTGGTCAGTCGAGAACCACATTTCGGAAACGACCCGCCCTCAATCCGCGAAGCTCTTTCAACTTAAATAAAGAATGTGCGCGGCGCTAAGGCGAGAAACACATTTTGAAAACGAGTCGCTCTATGTGCGCGGCGCTCACGCGAGAGCCACATTTGGAAAACCGCCTGCTCTCAATCCGTGAAGCTCTTGCAAACTTGAAGACAAATGTGCGCGGCGCTCGGTTGAGAGCTACACTTTGAACCCCGCCGCCCTCAATCCGTGAAGTTCTTACAAACTTTTAGAACGAATGTGCTGATAATGCTGCTGCTGCTGCTGATGATGATGATGATGCTGATGATGATGATGATGATGATGATGATGATGGTGATGCTGCTGCTGATGATGATGATGAGGAGGAGGAGGAGGAGAAGGAGGAGGAGGAGGAGGACGAGGAAGCGGAAAGAGAGGCGGAGGAGGAGAAGGAGGAGGAGGAGGAGGAGGAGGAGGAAGAGGAGGAAGAGGCGGAGGCGGAGGCGGGGAGGCGGAGGCGGAGGAGGAGGAGGAGGAGGAGGAGCGAGGCGAAGGAGGAGGAGGAGGAGGAGGGAGAAAGAGGATTGATGATGAGGAGGAGGTGGAGGAGGATGAAGGAGGAAGGGAGGAGTAGGAGGAGGAAATGGGAGGAGGATGGAGGAGGAGGAGGCGGGGGAGAGGAGGCTGTGGAGGGAGGAGGAGGGAAGAGGAATTAGGGAGGCGGAGGAGGAAGAGGAGGATGGAGAGGAGGAGAGAGGGTAGGAGGTAGGAGGGGGTAGGAGGAGGATGAGGAGGAGAGGGGCGAGGAGGAGGAGGAGGAGAGGAGGAGGAGGAAGAAGAGGAGGAGAAGGACGAGGAGCAGGAGGAAGAGGAGGAGGATGAGGATGATGATGATGATGATGATGATGATGCTGATGAGTAGGAGGAGGAATCTGACGACGATGATGATGATGAGGAGGAGGAGAAGGAGGAGGAGGAGGATGAGGAGGATGAGGAGGACAATGAGGCGGAGGAAGAGGATGTTGATGAGGAGGATGAGGAGGATGAGAAGGAGGGCGAGGAGGAGGATGAGGAGGATGTGAAGGAGGGCGAGGAGGACGAGGAATATGATGATGAGGAAGAGGAGGATGATGAGGAGGAGCAGGATGAGAATGACGATGATGAGGAGGAGGAGGAACCGGAGGAGGAGGAACATGATACTCAGGAGGACGAGGAGGAGGAGGAGGTGGGAGGAGGAGGCGGAGGATGAGGAGGAGGAGAAGGCGGAAGAGGAGGGGGAGGAGAGGGAGGAGGGGGAGAAGGGGGATGACGACGATGTTGATGATGATGCTGATGATGATGCTGATGCTGATGATGATTCTAATAATAATGATGATTACGATGATGTTGATGCCGATGATGATAATGATGCCGATGCGGATGATGATGCTGATGACGATGACGATGGGGAGGCTGCTGATGATGCTAATGATGATGCTGTTGATGATGCTGATGCTGACGCTGATGCTGATGATGATGATGCTGATGATGTTGATGATGCTGATGTTGATGGTGAGGATAATGATCAGGATAAGGCTGATGATGATGACGCTGATGATGGTGATGGTGATGATGCTGATGACGATTCTAATAATGATGACGATGCTGCTGCTGATGATGATGATGTTGACGACGACGATGATGATGATTATGATGATGCCGATGCTGATGATGCTGATGACGATGGTGAGGCTGATGATGATGCTGTTGCTGATGATGATGAAGATGCTGACGCGGATGCTGATGATGATGCTGGCGATGCTGACGATGATGAAGACGGAGGTGATGACGAGGATGATGCTGATGATGATGATGCTGCTGATGATGATGATGCTGATTCTGATTGTGATGCTGTTGCTGATGATGCTGATGAAGATGATGATGCTGATGATGATGATGCTGATGCTGCTGAAGATGATGCTGATGATGATGGTGATGCTGATGATGCTGCTGCTGATGATGATGATGACGATGATGCTGATGATGATGATGCTGATGATGCCGATGACGACGATGATGCTGCTGATGACGATGATGATGCTGATGAAGAAGATGATGAAGATGATCATGATGATGATGATGATGATGATGATGATGATGATGATGATGATGATGATGATGATGATGATGGTGATGGTGATGATGATGATGATGATGATGTATGATGATGATGATGCTGTGCTGATGATGATGATCGATGATGATGCTGATGCAGATGCAGATGCTGATGATGATGATGATGTGCTGCTGATGATGATGATGTTGCTGAAGTGCTGATGATGTGATGTTGATGATGATGATGATGATGATGATGATGATGATGATTGATGATGATGACGTCATGTTGTTGGCTGATGATGTTGCTGATGATGATGCTGGCTGCTGCTGATGAGGTTGTGATGATGATGATGCTGATGATGCTTGATGATGATGCGGAGGGAGGAGGAGGAGGGGCGGAGGGAGGAGGGAGGAGGAGGAGGAGGAGGAGGAGGAGGAGGAGGGGAGAGGAGGACGAGGAGGACGAGGAGAGGACGAGGATGGGGGAGGAGGATGTGGAGGAGCGGGAGTGAGGAGAAGGAGGAAAGGAGGGGGAGGAGGAGGAGGAGGAGGAGGAGGGAGGAGGAGAGGCAGGCGCGGAGGTGGAGGAGGAGAGAGGAGGAGGAGGGGCGGCGGGTTGAGGAGGAGGAGCGGTGGAGGAGCAGGAGGAGGAGGGGGAGCAGGAGGAGGAAGAGGAGGAGAGGAAGGGGAGGAGGAGGAGGAGGAGGAGGAAGGAGAGGATGAGGAGGAGGAGGAAAGAGGAGGGCGAGGGGGGGGCGGGGGAGGAGGGAGGAGAGAGGAGGAGGAGGAGGAGGAGGAGGAGGAGGATGAGGAGGAGGGAGGGAGGAGGAGGAGGGGAGGGGTGGGAGGAGGGGGAGGAGGGGGAGGCATGTGAGGGGGAGGAGGGGAGGAGGGGGAGGTGGAGGAGGGATGAGAGGAGGAGGAGGAGGGGCGAATGAGGCGAAGGAGGCGAAGGAGGCGAATGAGGCGTAGGAGAAAGGGCAACGATGCTGATGATGATGATGATGATGAGGAGGAGGATACGTAGGAGGAGGAGGAATACTAATAAGTAGACGAATGATACGATCAATAATAAACTACTAATACCTTGAATAGTAATACTCAACTTAGAACAAATAATAATAGCACCGATATTAAGCTAAAACTGCTACTACAATTAATAACACGCATACGAATACCAGTGCGATTAAGCATACCAGTTTTTAAATGAAGGAACATAAGAATACTCATACTACTAATACTACTACCACTATTCAAACTACTGTTGTTAATAATGCTGATACTAATTTTACTAGTAATACTACTACGACTGACAATACTCATCATACTACTAAAATAACAATACCCATAGTAATATTCATAACTGATATTAACGATAGTAATACACATTTCAAACATAACAATAATCATGATGATAACGTTAGTAATAGCAGTGGTAGTAAAACTAGTCCCAACACTAATAATATCGTTACTATTAACAACACTACTAATATTGATAATAATAATATTAATACTACGATTGAAATTAATAACACTAATAATACCACTGATAATGATAATACTAACATTGCGAATCATATCAATACTCGTACTATTATTATTATTATGATTACTATTAATAGTAATAATAGTCATTATCCGACTAATACTACTACTAGTGATAATGATCATACTCATAATAACAATCCTACGAATACTAATACGGACATTAATACTAAGAACAACATTAACAATAACACTACTACTAATACTACTACAACAACTACTACTACTACTACTACTACTAGTACTACTACTACTACTACTACTACTACTACTACTACTACTAATACTACTAATCTTACTAATACTAATACTACTTCTACTACTACTAATAACAATAGTATTAATAACACTAGTAAGACTACTAACACTGATAATAATAATATTACGAGTAATAGTAACATTAATACTAATAATACTAGTAACAATAATAATGATACTACTAATACTAATACTACTACTATTAATACTAATAATAATACCAACGATACTCATACTACTACTACTAATAATAATACTACTACAACTACTAATAATAATAATAACAATAATAATACTACTGTTAATAATACTAATAGTAATAATAATAATAATACTACTACTACTACTAATAATACTAATAATAATACTAATAATAATAATACTAATAATACTACTACTACTACTAATAATAATAATACTAATAATACTAATAACACTAATAATACTAATAATAATAATACTAATAATAATAATAATAATAATAATAATAATAATAATAATAATAATAATATTATTATTAATAATGGTGATAATAAGAATATGGAGGAAGAAGAGGAGGAGGATTAGGAGGATGAGGAGGAGGAGCAGCAGGAGGCGGAGGAGGCGGAGGAGGAGGAGGAGAAGGAGAAGCAGGAGGGAGATGAGGAGGAGGAGGAGGAGGATGAGACGGAGGAGGAGGAGGAGTAGGAGGAGGAGGTTGAGGAGCAGGAGGAGGGAGGAGGGAGGGGGGACGGAGGAGGGAGGAGGGAGGGAGGAAGGAGCAGGGAGGAGGAGGGAGGAGGGAGGAGGGAGGACGGAGTAGTGAAGAGAGAGGAGCAAGGAGCGAGGAGCGAGGAGCGAGGAGCGAGGAGCGAGGAGGAGGAGGATGAGGAGGAGGAGGAGGAGAAGGAGGAGGCGGAGGAGGAGGAGGAGGACCCCCCAGGGAACCAAATGGGGGCTCCCAGAGACGCCGGAGAGCGTCCAAAACCACCGTCGTTGGCAAAACTCTCAAGGGAACGGGGCACGGCCAGCACCCCCGAGGTACTGCAAGAAGAATATGCGGGTCTCCTCGGCCAAGTCCATGGACGAGCTCTGCAAGCCTCTCGTCACGAAGGCGGAGAACAAGATGCTGTGGGTCCCGCGGGGAGGACGCGGAGCTCCGCCGCGCACGCCCCAGCTGACGCGGCGGTCGTGTCTGGCCCCGCGTGCCCCCCTGGCCGCCACGGCGACTCGGGCATCGTCGCGCGCCGCACCTCGACTTCTGGCCCTCGGGCGCTGCCTTCCAAGCCCCTCCGAGAAGCCCTTCTGCCCGCAGTCCTCGCGGACCTGGCCTCGCTGCTGCCCGCGGTCTCGTGAAGTTCCGCGGGTATTGCAGTCCCTGGGCAGCTTCTCGCCCTGCTCTGGCTTCGGCCGTGACTCGAGGGAAGCAGCCCGATGACTATGACCAAGATGTCGCGGGATCTAGTCGATGCCGATCTTGGTCACGGTACTTGCCAGCCAACGCCGATTCGCGAGGATGACACACGAATGAACTATGGCTAACGTGAGCGATGGTCAATATCGACGCCGCTGTTTCCGCGTTCAGTTTTCGTCATTGTCCTCGTTTGCTTTACCACTGGTGATCTCGGCTCCGAGTCCTGGCTATGGAAGTACGGCAGGTTCGCGTCGTGTCGACGTGGCAGCGGCCCCGCTGCGGGCGTTCATGGTTGAACGCCGCCAGTGGCCCAGAATCGGCCGATCTGGAACGATCTGGCGATCGAGAAGCTGCCAATCGTTTAAGGTTGAGCGGTCCACGCGGTGTCAGAAACCAAGGCGCAGGTCGTCAGGACACGAATGCACCGTACACCCCTACACCGACCCCGTACACCCCTGCACAACGATTTTTGGCCCAGGATGGGCCTGGCCAGCATCGGTATATTGGTATAGCTGGTGCTCTGCCGTGACACGGTAGTGAGCATGAGCGAGGAGGGCTGGACCAACGAGAAGGGGGGCGTACGGAGGCACGCGAAGGAGGTGGCGGGTATGAGGTCGGATTGGTGTGTTGGCACAGCTGGTGCTCTGCCGTGACAGGGCAGTGAGCACGAGGGAGGAGGGCCGGACCGACGACACAGGGGGGGAGCGCAGGTCCGGAGGCGCGCGAAGGGGGCAGCCAGACCCCCTGGCCTGCGCCACGGCCGAGGCGGCGCCGGCACGCTGCGCGGTGCCGACCGCAGGGCGGCAGCTCTGGGCCCTGGCGACCTCATAGCCACTGCCGCCCCGGACCCCCTCGCGTCGTGAACAAAATCGCGACAGGAGGGTTTTCGCTATTGCTGGCATCCGGGGGCCCTTCTGGCGCCCAGGGACCGTCGAAGAACGACTCGGGATGAAACACTGGTCCGCGGGAAGGGGTCCAGACCTCTGGGGGTCGACGTTGTGAAAAGAGAGACAGGACGTCGGGGGTCCAGGGGAGTACAGATCGTTGAGGAGTGAGCGGTTCACGCGGTGTCAGACGGCGCCACGGCAGGACGCCACTGTGATTTCTTTGGCTTCCCCCCTCGGGCGCCGCGCTCCAGGCCTCCTCTTTTGGAGTGCTTCCTCTGGCCTCTTTCTCTCTCTCTCTCTGTCTCTGCGCTCCCCTGCCTGCTCTCTCCCCTGGCGCAGGCCTGCGTCGCTGTGCAGCATGCCTCCCCGCTTCGCCCTGGGGCGCCTCCTCTCCAGGTTCCCTTGTTCGGGCCGTCGAGGCTCCTTGGTCTTCATGGGGCGACGCGCGCGAGGCCCTCGGGCTACACTCTGTTGCGAGGCGGGACCTCGCTCTCCGCGCGGTGCAGGCGACCGCCCCGCCTCCCTCTCGGGGCCCCCTTCGATCCCACCGATCCGATCCGATGTCGATTCTGGCCGAGCCCGATCCGAGGCGCCCCCGGTGTCTGCACGGAGCCGCTGTGCATCCTGGCGCATCCGATGCGATCCGACCTCCGTGCCGATGCTGCCCACTCCAGTGCACACCCCAGTTCGCTCCGATGGTGAAGGCTTGACGGCCAGTGCCGCCGACCCTGAGAGACATCGACGACGACCAGGAGGGGGAGGAGGAGGAGGAGGAGGAGGAGGAGGAGGAGGAGGAGATGAGGAGGAGGAGGAGGAGGAGGAGGAGGAGGAGGAGGACTCCGGTTCGATCCGGTTTCCCGATCCGATGTTGACTTGGTCCTACCCCTGCAGGGAGCCCACGGCGCCTCGGCGACAATGACGACGACGACGACGACGACGACGACGACGACGACGACGACGACGACGACGACGACGACGACGACGACGACGACGATGGCGACGACGACGACGACGACGACGACGACGACGGCGGCGGCGGCGGCGGCGGCGGCTCCCTCCGCCTCGTGATCAGCCTCGAGCCCCCGCGGCGGCCTCTCTGCGCGCCGCCCCGCGGCACTGCTCGGCGGCGCGCAACGGTGGGAGAAAGGGGGGGGGGGGCGGCCTTCTGAGAAGGCACCCAGCCTCTCTCTCTCTCTCTCGCTCCCCTTCTCTGTCTCCCCTTCCCTCTCTTTTTTTTTCTTGTTTGTTTCTCTCTCTCTCTCTCTCTCTCTCTTTCTCTCTCTCTCTCTCTCTTTCTCTCTCTCTCTCTCTTTGTCGCTCTGTCACTCTCTCTCTCCATCTCTCCCTCGCGTTCCAGCGGCTCTTGGATGGCCACCCGCCGCCACTTGACGGGGCGCAAAGCGACCTGTGGGCCTGCATCCATCGCTGCGTCCTTGCCAAGCCAGACCTCCTCAGGGTCGAAAAGGTCACCAGCCATCTCGGTGACGAGGGCGTGAACGAAAACCGTATCAGTACCATCGCGGAGGAGTTCAACCGCCAAGCCGACCACCTGGCCACCGACGCGGTCGCTCTTCACCACCTGCCGTCGCTCCTGATTGAGGAAGCCAAACAGCGCCACCGCTTCGCCGTAGTGCTGCATAGCGTCGCTGTCACCATCTATGACCAGCGGCACCGCACTCTCCCGCTCATTCACAGACGAGCGGGCTACACCAACGCCCAGCTGGACAAGCTCGAACCCAACCCCATGCTCACTGCGGCGGCCACACCCAGCGGCCACCACAGGCTCCTCGAGGATTTCGACGTTCTTTTGGAGGAGGCTCAACGCCTCGTCGACCCCGTCGGCGACGAAGACGAGCACCCATTTGGCTTCGGCGGAGGTACGGACAACCTCCTTGCTCCCTTTACCCGTGCCCCGATGTCACCAGGCCTACGTCGGCCCCCCCAGCCACTGGCCCAGGGGCACCGACTGCAGTCGTGCCCTTCGGTGAGCTTGGCTCAAAGCCCTCCAACAGCACGGCTGTTGCTGCCCCACGCAACGGTGACGGCCCAGGGGCACCGACCGCAGTCGTGCCCACTGGGGAGTCGGACCCGCCTCCGCTCCACCGCACCGCCGCCGCCGACCTGCACTACGGCTCGGGTCCCGAGGACGACAAAGACACGTTCGGCTTCGGGGACAGCACAAACAACAAGGACACCAGTTCCCCGTCGCCCCAGGCCACGGTCAACTATGCTCCGGCTGCTGAGCCCGACACGCGGACCAGGGCTCAGCCGCTGTTGCCGGCTCCATGCGCCCCTGGCTCACTCCGCGCCGCCCCGTGGCGGTCGTGCGCTGGCCCTACCACGCCCGAGCACGAGCGCCACGCCGACCTGGACAGTGGGCCTCCCCCTGCGGTATCTGCTGACAGCAGCGCTTCTGGCGTGGCCCCCTCCTCTGCCGCCCGACCGAGCCGAGCCGCGGTGGCCAGGCTCACCCCTGTCGGTCGACGGGCCCCCGCGGCGACGGCCCGCCGTCGCCCCCGAGCCTGAGCCGGTGCCCGCGCGCGGCACTGACCGCCGTTCGGACCTCGCCGCGCACCTTGCCGGCAGGGCTGCTGCTGCCCGGCCGCCTCGTGTTCCGCGTCCTTCCCGGGGTCGAGCCGCGGAGCCCCAGGCGTCATACGAGCACCTGAGTCTCCAGCACACCGCGCTCTCGCGCCAGGCTCGCTCCTTGGCCTCCCAGCAGGGCCTGCTTGTGCAACGCCCTCGCCGCGCTCAGGTTGCCCTCGCCTCCCTCCGACCCTCGCCTCCGCCCGACGAGGCGTCACCCGTCCCAACACTGCATGACCTTCTGGGTGCCATGCATGCCCACAGGGCCTCCATCACGGCCGTGGGCCCCACTTCTTGCCAGCCCGATTGCCCGCGCGGGCACGCGTCGTCGCGGCCTGGCTGCGGCGGCGGGGGACGCCCCGTCGTTCGCAAGCCGCTCAGCGGCGGTCAAGCCCTTGTCCCCCGGCCGCCGGCTGTCGACTGGACCCTCGTTTACTTGTCCGATCTCTCTCTCTCTCTCTCTCTCTCTCTCTCCCTCCCCGTCCCCCTTGGGAGCAGAGGCTTCCTGCCTCTTCCGAGGCCCTCCCCCGAGCAGGGGCCCGCCCGTCCCTCGGAGGACCCCCCCCCCGGCGCCTTCTCGGACGGCCGCCCTCGCCTCCGCCTCCCCGCCACCTCGACGCGCCGCCGCCGGACTGTGCGCGCCCACCCCCGGCCGCGCGCAGAGGAGGCGGAGGAGGAGGAGGAGGAGGAGGAGGAGGAGGAGGTGGAGGAGGAGGAGGAGGAGGAGGAGGTGGAGGAGGAGGAGGAGGAGGAGGAGGAGGAGTGAGGAGGAGGAGGAGGAGGAGGAGGAGGAGGAGGAGGAGGAGGAGGAGGAGGGAGGAGGAGGAGGAGGAGGAGGAGGAGGAGGAGGAGGAGGAGGGGTGGAGGAAGGAGGAGGAGGAGGTGTGAGGATGGAGGAGGAGGAGGTGGAGGAGGCAGGGAGGAGGAGGAGGTGGAGGAGGAGGAGGAGGAGGAGGAGGAGGAGCGAGGAGGAGGAGGTGGAGGAGGAAGGAGGAGGAGGAGGTGGAGGAGGAGGAGGAGGAGGAGGGAGGAGAGGAGGTGGAGGAGTGAGAGGTAGGAGGAGGAGAGGAGGAGGAGGAGGAGGAGGAGGATGGCAGAGGAGGAGCAGAGGAGGAGGAGGAGGAGGAGGTGGAGGAGGAGGAGGAGGAGGAGGAGGAGGTGGAGGAGGAGGTGGAGGTAGGTGGAGGAGGAGGAGGAGGAGGAGGAGGAGGTGGTGGTAGGTGGAAGGAGGAGAGGAGGAGGAGGAGGAGGAGGAGAGAGGAGGAGGCAGAGGGAGGAGGGGAGGGGAGGAGGAGGAGGAGGAGGATAGGAGGAGAGGTGGAGGAAGGTGGAGGAGGAGGAGGAGGAAGAGGAGGATGAGGTGGATGATCTCCTACGTCCCCCCTCTTTTTTGAGCGCGTGGTT